AGGGCTACAAGAACCTCATACAAACGGAACAGGAAGCCCTGGTGTCCTCCTCTGTCGCTCCTGGAGGTCTTGCTCTGCAGTTGCTTTGTGGCATCCACCATGCTTGTAATTACTTGTTTAACATCTGTCTGCTTCTCTTGGCTGCATGTTCTTATCTCAGCTGGCCTTGCTCGTTCCTGGGTCCCCAGCACTGAGCCGTCTGCCTGGAGCGTGTTTGTTAAGAAAACAAACAGCCTGGCGGGTGGATGGAGCGCATATGTGGATGCTCTTTGGAGCAGCTGGACCCAGGGTCTCCTGGAGGCTCTGTTCTGAGGCAGACTTGCTGGCCACATACCCAGTGTGATCTTGGGCTCAAGTTCTCTGTGATTTGAGGGGGATTAGTGGTGCTAGTGGATCTCAGGAGTGCTGGAGGAACCTGTGCAGCAGGATTTGGGGGGGCAAGGGAACCATATCAACGAAGTCAAGGAAGTGGCAGGTGCACAGCAGGTCTGCAGACTCCCGACATTGGGTGGATGGGAGCTCGCAGTGCATGGTGGGACCTCTATGAGCTATGGCTGCATGTGTTGAGTTTAAGTGTGTGTGACATATTGCTGCGGACAGGGAGATGTGTGCTAGGAAGCCGAGGCACAGAGAGGGTACAATTCTCACTGATGTTTCTTGGGTGTTTTGTGGCAGTTCCTACCACTTTGAGGAACTATGCCCTTGGCCTCCTCCTTTCCTAGCCTCACAGGGAACTAAGTGGGCCAGATGCTGGGTGATTTGTGGCAAAAAAAAACAAAAAACAAACAAAAAAAAAACCCACAACTCTTACCCCTTGGGAAGGGGTTTCATAAATCCACAGATGATGCACAGAGAAGTAGGACAGGGCAGGGATGCTAGGGGCCTCCAAGGTCAGGCTATTGGGCTTGAACTTAGGCCTCCTGAAGTCAGCAGCCTAAGGATGCCCTCAGATGGTCCTGACCATGGCGCTGCAGATGAAGAGATACTGAGAGTGAGAGCTCCCTGCAGATACTGAGCTTTTTTTTTTTCTTGTGGGCAGCCTAGTTCAGCACCTGTGTGCATTCTGCATCTGAGTGTGTAGGGTAGTGTGTGTGTTAAGGGTGGACCCAGTGCCTCCGAGAGGGGGAATTCAATCACAGCAATCGTTGCCGGTCCTCCGTGGCACAGGGTCGTGCAGCAAGCTGGCACTGGAATATTTTGAGCTTGCGGTAATGAAAGAAAGCTCACAGCAATTTGGCCCATCTTCAGTCTTGAAAGCCGCAGCGCGACAGTCAGTCATAGGCGGCTGGGATTATCCGCTGCTAATGGGGGCTGCTGCTCCCAGGCCGGGAGGGGAAGGAGGGCTCAGAGAGGTTAAGTGACTTGCCCAGCATCACAGGACGGGTAATGGGAGGGCAAAGTCCGAGGCGCAGTTTGGCCTCTTCCCCTCCCCCAAGGCAACCCGGCTCCCCAGAATGGATCTTTGCTGAGTTTCCTGAGCGCTGGTTTCCATAGCAGCAGGCCATTCCTGCACAATAGATTCCTCCTCTTCCCTGGGCTTCCTGGCTGCGGAGGCTGCAGGGGCGGGGATGCTCCATCGTAGGGGACTGCTGGGTGCAGGCTTCCAGGAGTGAGAAGGGCCACTGAGGTGGCTTGGGGACCACCAGCCCTAACAGAAACCCCACCCCATCCCATACCTTGATCAAGGTTTCCATTTCCACTCCAGAGTTGGCTCTGCTTTAGATTGTGAGTGAGGGCTGAGGAGAGAAATACAAACTCAACAGAAGCAGAATGGGAAGCGCAGGCAAAAGCAATTATAGGAAAACTAAGGCAGGACAAAGGATATGTTTGTCTGCGGATAAATCATCTCACTTCTGCAACCTTGGGAGGGAGGCTCTGTCCACGCCTCTTACAGACGGGGAAACTGGGAGAAATGGGTGCTTCCCAGAGTACAATCCAAGAGCCAGCCTCTCTCCCCTGGGAAGGCCTGGTTAAAAATGCAGATTCCCTGACCACACCCCCACCTACAGAGTCCAACACTCTGGAGTGGAACCACAACTGTACTTAGGCAGCTCTCTGGGAGAATTTTCTAGAAGGCTAAGTGTGGAACTAGTACTGGTTAGAATGGCCATCCTAGGCTCAGCTTGAGTTTATACAGCAGGGAAATGTAGAGCTAGGGTTTAGGGCCCAGACAGGAGCAAGAAAGAGAAGAAATTGACAATGAAAGGATTCTTAAAGCAAGACATGTGCCCGGGAAGAGACGGCAACAAGCAAAAAATGTAAGGTAGTAGGAGACACAGAGACAGTGGGCAGAGGTGCCCTGGGCCAGGAGGAGGGGCACGTGGGATGATTAGAGCAAGCTTTCAGTGAAGGTGGCTGCCTGTCACTCCAAACATGGCTCCTCCTTAATCCCCATGGCAGCTTCTCAAGGGAGGTTCGTCTAAAGCTTCGATTTTTCTGGATGAGGAAATTGAGGAGGGAACAGATTACCTTTGAACCCTCTGGCTGCTCGGGAGGGGTGCCGCCTTTAATCACTAGGCTGCCTTTCAGGGAAAAAGCTCAAAGGCTCAGACCCACCTTCAAATTTTGGCTCTAGCACTGACTGACTAAATGGGGGAGGGGTTCTTATCACCCTTTGCCCTCGGACTGACTGAGGGGCAGCCAGTGGATTCTGCTAAACTGAATCATCCATGGGACAGAACCAGTCATCACCTCGTGTTCACATCTGCTGATGTAAGTCACCGGACTCCTAAGGGAGTTCTCCATCCTGAGACTCACGAAGTTCATTCCCAAGTCTCTTTGGCACAGAGGTGGCTACGCCCACCATGAGCATTGTTGTGTCTGTTGGACATCTGCCAGGTATCCTACCCACGTGGTATGGGTGCTTGGTCCATAGCTATGGGGACTACATCCTCCGGGTACACTCCCAAGGATGTACTTGTATGGGCTCATTTTTCCATGTCACACTATGTGGGGCAGAGGGACGGCAAACTCTGGATGGTGTTGAGCTGCTCCACTCCTCTCCGTTTCTGTCCTCAAATGTGAGTGGACTTGGGATGGGGGTGGGTAGCTAGTTGACAAACAAACCTTGTGATCACAGAGTTCTCTCTCAGTGGTGACAGCTTCTTGGTTTTACTATTGCAACAACATAGGCCAACTAAAAGTGCTCATGTCTATTAACTCCGTGACTATATTGTGCTGCATTTTACAAAACCAGATATTTGGGACTCAGCTTACCCTGGGTCTGTCCTTTGATCACATTTTACAGAGGTGAAGACGGGGGCACAGGAACTCTAAGTAGAGAGAGAGAGAATTGCACCCCCCCCCCACTAAGGTTCCCAGACCTATTTCCTAACTACCTCTTGGTTCTCAGAAATGTGTGTGTGTGTGTGTGTGTGTGTGTGTGTGTGTGTGTGTGTGTGTGTGTGCGCGTGCGCGCGCAGAGCTAGAGCTCTAAGATGGTTTCGCAGAGGAACAAGATCTAGACTGAGGCTTGAAGGGACCCGGAGAAAGGCTGACAGGCTGGGAACACGACTGTAAGTGTAAGGTACCAACTCGTAAGGTACCAACGCAGGTAGCTGGGTGGCACTGCTCAGGGCCGGAGCTGGAGCAGACATCTGGCCTGTTTGCAGAGGCACAGGGCTCTATGAGCTGAGAATCCGTTGCAATCTCCTCTTGTCATCTGGTTCCACTCGAGAGGGGTCACACTCGAGAGGGGTCACACTCGAGAGGGGTCACACTCCCTCCTGCTCCCAGGATACTTCCGTGCTCTCCACCTACGGAGGAAAAGCTGGGTCCTTGCAGTGGCCTGGGAAGCTCCGTCCTGGCTGAATGGAGTTGCTTCTCTTCCTTCTCCTGTGGCCAGTCTCCTCCTTGTTCATTCAGCTCCAGCAACACTTTTGTGGGTGTGTGGGGCACATTCCTGGCCTTTCTTCCTGTAAGGCACTTCTCTGAGATACCCATACCCTCACTTGCTGTATCCATAGAAAGGCCTTCCTTGACTTTCAAGTGCACCCCACTGCCACGCTTACCACCCTCCCCACTCCCCTTCCTTCATTGTTCTTTCACAGTACTTAATTCACTATTGACATGCTATGCATGTTACTTGGGTATTTGTTTAGTGTTTGGCTGTCGCCAGTCCCCAGGATCACATCAGCTCCAGCATGAACAGGATTTTCACAGTATCCCTAGCACTGTACCTCACTCCTATTATGTACTTAGTGTACATAGTTCCTGCACAAATAAAGATGGACAGCAGAGACTGACGTTCACAGCATTCATTACTCTACAAGTCACTTTCTCGGGTTTTGCCAGTTTGGGAAATTGAGGCTCAGAAAAGGCACAGGTGCAGGTAAGAGTGTGTGTGTGACAGGTACCCAGTAAGTCAGCAGAGAGCCCCCTTCGGGGCTGTCCAGTAGAGAGCAGCCTCATCTGAGGTCATTCCCTCTCCTGAGGCCCCAAAGACTTATCCCTCCAGGGTCTAATGGTCCGAACTAACGGCTACAGCTCCAGGTTGATGGAGAAGAAAGAAGTACAGTTGAGGCCCCAGGGAAGAGTGTTTTAGATGTGTTAATAAACTGAACTGTGATCTCTCCCACTTCCTTCTCCCCATTCCTACATCCTAGTGCTTTAGGATGTGATTGTATTTGGAGACAGGGTCTTTAAAGAGGTAATTAAGTTAAAATGAGGTAATATGGGAGACTCTTAATCCATACCATGATGTCTTTATTTGAGGAGCAGATCAGGACACAGACATACACTGAGGGAAGACCTATGAGGCCAGAGAGAGCAGATGGCCTTCTGTAAGCCAAGGGAAGAGAACCCCACAGGAACCAATTCTGCTAACAGTTTGATCTTGGACTTCACCCTCCAGAACTGTTGAGAAGATAGATTTCTGTTGTTGCAGCCACCTGTAGTACTCTGTGGTGTATTAATTGTGTGTATTAATAATGCAGATGCATTAGCCCATCCAATTCCTACATGAACTACAAGGTAAATATTATACTGTTCTTATTTTACAGATGAGGAAGCAGGCTCGAAGTGGGGAAGTAACTCGTCTGGGATTGCACAGTTCACGTTTGTGTGGAATGCAGAGCTACAGCAGCACATGGTCTAGTGGGAAGGTAGGGGATTTCCTAGAAGTGACCTAGACACTGACATCTGTACCCACTGTCAGGCCAGTGTCATAAGAATCTTAAGGACTAAGGGATCTACATGGTTGGAGTGATCATCCTTACCGAAGAGAGAATGGTTTCCACCATTTGGGTCTTAAGGCCCTTTTACGCTCTTTTAAAAATTAATGAGAACAAAACAAATGAGAAAAAAAATCCAGTTTTTGTTTATATCAGTTTATCTTCTGAAGCTACCATGTTAGAAATGAAAACAGAGGCATTCCATTAGTTATCAAAACAATGGAGTTATCTTTATAACAACCCTCCAGTGTGGGCATTATTAATATCATCATCCCATTTTATAGGCAAGAAATCAAGATCAATGATGCTAAATAGTCCTAGGGCTCCTAAAGCCAGGATTGGACTATAGGCAGCTTGGTTCCAGAGCTCAAGCAGTGAACTACTTTTTATGATACTTGGACAATGTCTTAGTTGCTTTTCCCATTGCTGTGATAAGATACCCTGACCAAAGGAAGACAAGGTGCATTCTGCCTCACAATTTGAGGATATAGTCCATCACAATGAAGAAATCAAGATGTCAGACCTTGAAGCAGTTGTTCACATTGCCTCTGCTGTCAGGATAAAGGGTAACAATGGATGCTTGTGCTCAGCCAGCTCTCTCTTTTTTCTGCAGGCTAGGACCCCTGCCTAGGGAATGGTGCTTCCCCCTCTTTTAGGGGGGGGATCTTCTTATCTCAGGGTACCTGATCAAGATAATCCCTCACAGGCATGCCCAGAGGCTAACCTAATCTAAACGATCCCCCCACAGGTTTGTATCCCCTTCAGATATAAAACTTGTCAAGTTGACAATAAGCACTCCCCATTACAGACATGATACAGCCATCCCTTTCCTACTAGGGAGTGGCCATTGGAACATTCTTCTTCAGGCTTGGGCTAAGTCTGTAGCCTGTTTGGGACAAGGACAGGGCACAAAGAGTTAACCTTTCTCAAGATAAAACTTGAAATTGAGAGAAAATTTCTTTCCCTAGAGGCACACCAGGCATCCCACACCCAGGCAAGGGTGAGAAGTCTGCTCTTACAGCACAAGCCTTCCACGAGTTATTTATTGAAGTGTTGTGGCACCCTTGCCACATCCCAGAGCCTCTGGATGGAGGCTCCTCTGCAGAGTCTGTGATTACCCAGAAAGACCAGAAAGAAATGAGTTCTTTGAAGAGGCTGAGGTAGGATAAAACGTGGCTGAAATATGCCCTCCCATGAAAGCCTCGCCCAACCCACGTTTGCCTTTACTAGCTCATTTTCCCTCTGTGACTATCTGCTGAGGACTCCTGTGTGCCGTGTACCTTCTCAATCAGAACAATGTTTAAGCCTCACAGCAACTTTGTGCATCCGGTCATTTGCAAATTCAATCTATCAACACTTACTAACACTGACAGTGTGCCTAGCACTTAACTGGGTACCTGGAGCATGGTGCAGAGGAGAAGACAGATAAGGACCTGTCTTTGGGGAAACTCTGACCATATGGAGAAGACAGATGAGGAGAGAGGCAATCATGGGCAGCGCGGGATAAAGAGAAGCATGGGGTGAGGACTGGGCTAACCTAGACTAGGAGCTCAATAAAATATTTGCAGTCATTAAACTGAGGACGCCCCCCCCCCATGGTGAAAGCTCTAGGCTAGATCAGTACCCACAGTTCCTCTAGATGCATTTAGCAGAGGAAAGTGATGCTAAGTCTTGAACAAGGAGGGTAGGGATGTGTTTAGGAAGCTAGTATGGATTCAGGATGGCCACAAACCTCCAGCCAGTAGGTGCCCATTGCAGTGTGGGAATCACCATCCTTACACTTCTGTTGATGGAACCAACTCATTGTTGAGAAAAAGCAGACTTTGAAGGGTTCCTTTTTTTCTTGAAAGGTGGTTTTTCGGAATGACTAGATAAAGGGACCCAACAGGGCTGTCATCTCTGCTTGCCTTTGTCCTGCTTGCAAGTTTTTAGCATTTAGAAGAAAGCATGGTCACTAACAGGTAGCCCCAAACTTACGTGCTCCAAGATTATCAAGTCCGCTGGGAGAGAGGTTTTCTTTCTCCTACACAGTGAGTATGTGCCTACGTGTTTGTCCAGTTTTTAATTTCAGAAAAAGCATGTTGTTTCTACACTGAACTCATGACCACCCTTGTTTGTGTGTCTTAACAAAAGCCCCTATAGTGTTGAAAGTACACTTTCCCCCCAAAGAGACTCAAATAATACTATTGTTGTATAGCTGTTTTCTCTGAGATTAAAAACCTTCCATTTTGGAGAGAAACTTCTTAAGACAACAGGTTCTAAGGGGAAGTGACGTGCTACAAAGTAGCTCGTTTAAGTTTAGTATCAGAAGTCAACAACTCAAAACAGTTTCAGGAAGTCCTTGAAAATGATCAGATTCACAAGGACCCTCCCCCAAGAGTATATAAACAGTAAAGACTGTTGAGAGTCAACAAAAAAAGATTCTCAGACAAGCCCCAGAGATGCCTAAAGGAAGCAGAGGCAAGGCCAGCAGCCTGTAAGAAGGAGAAACCCGCTAACCTGCCCAGAAGAAACAAAGACCGGCAGAGATGCCTGGAAGAGGACCAGACCAACCTGAGCCACCTGGGAAGGACACTTTCCAACCTGTTGAGCTGCTACAGGCTGTGCCATACACTCTAGGCTTCTAGCTTTTGTGAATTGTCACCCATGTTGGGTAGGCTTTGGTGATGCAGCTGCCTTTGAGTCATTTCTGCTCCTTTAAATAGTCCCCCACTTATATTCCTGTAAGTAACCCCAATAAAACTCGTTGGTTCACTAAGTTGGACTTTGGTAGTATCTGTACTTGGAGTGAGTAGATGTGTGTGTGTGTGTGTGTGTGTGTGTGTGTGTGTGTGTGTGTGTGTTGCATCTCCCCAGGAAAAGTCTGTAACGCAACAACTATCAAGCTCACAGTGGGGCACCTTATGAGAACTATCCAAGAGCAGCTGGCCTATCACACAGTCCTGGAAGTCAAAAGGGGATAGATGACATGACGAACAGGTGGCTAACATATTTATTAAAGGCCAGTTAAAAACTCTTAAAAGAAGACAGAGGCAGACCGTGTGATTTTCCAGTATTAACGGTGTCTTTTTTTTTCTTCTTCCCTGGCTTGTATTCAGAATAATCAGTCACAGGAGCCCAGAGAAGAACAAAATGCCAGCTTGTTACAGACAGAGCTGCTTGGAGAACACGGCTTGGGCAGACAGGCACCCAGAGCTGACCCCTGTGGTGCTGAAACCACAGCCTTATCTCTGCAGACAGCGATGAGCCCGGGCTCTCCTGAGGCTTGGCAGGGCTGTCTTCAGGGGCTTGCCCCAGTTGAGGAGAGGATGAAACCCCTCTCCCACTCTTATCAGTCGGTCCAGGATATGGACCTGATGGAGACATCCCCTTCCTCAACAGTGCACCCAAGTTAGCCATCAGAGGTACAAGCTGGTTTCCCCTTGGGGTGGTGGTGTTCTTTCCTGCAGAAGCTAGTGGAATTTGGGATGGGTGGCAAGTCAGAGAAAGGAATATACTCATTTTCCTTCTTTTTCAAAAATGATGATGCAAAACACCACAATCCAGTGTGAACATAAAAATCACAGAGAAAATTACCTTAAAAACGCAAGCCACCTGCCATGCATGATCTTATCCTAACTAGCATTATATGTTGGTGTGCATCCCTTCGGCCTTATGAGTGTTTAAACAAATGAGGGCATACTTAATAAGTTTTTATCTCCAAATTTCTGTGTGAAGCATTTGAGCATGCCCACAAGGCTGCATGCAACACAAAGAAAACAATCATGCCTGTTTGATCATTGCTGATCCCCATGGCTAAGCACCTATGCCACATTCTAAAAAAATATAATAGTCACAGGTAATTGATTAGGCAATGTATAGCTATCAAAGCATATCATTTAATCGCCTCCTTACCATTGAGTAAGTACAACAAAGTAAGTACAATAGTCACTTCTGTGAACCACGTCTTATAGAAGAGGAAACTGAGGCCTGGAGCAAAGACTTAGCACCTCTCCCCAGACACCACAGTGCAACATCTTCACAGGAGCATTTCCCCACTCAACATGTTTGCTTACAACATTTCAGTTTTCATCAAAGACTGGGCGGGGGGACAGCTCTGCTCCTACCCTAGGCAGGACTTAGCAGACCGTCCTGGATTGCTCACCGCCCCAGGAGTCCTTCACCAGAATGGCTGTGGCTCTGCTTACACTTGAGCCATGTGAACCATGTCAAGCCTTTATCCACTAGCTGCCCCAGGGCATCTGCTTGCATCACAGATGTCAGGCTTTCACCAAGACTGCTTCCTGCCCTGCAGAATTGTGCAAGACCATCCTCCAATCAACACTGCTGCCATCTTCAGGAGGGCTGGACCTGCTCACAAAAGATCGTCATAGCTGGGCTTGTTGACTCTTATATTCTTTCATAGAAGGAAGGGGAGGTGCTGAGGGTTATGGGATGGTCTCCCGAGAATCCAGCCCCTCCTCCCAACCAGCTGTACATAGTTCTGCCCCAATTGCATGTGGCTTTGAGGACTCGGGAAGGGCTGCAGCCCTTTTCAATCCGTGGGTTGTGACCCCCACAGGGGTTGCATATCAGATGTCCTGCACATCAGATATTCACATTATGATTCATAGCATAACATCACATAACTGTAGCAAAATTACAGTTTTGAAGTAGCAACAAGAATAATTTTATGGTTGGGGGTCACCACAACATGGGGAACTGTATTAAAGTGTCATGGCCTTAGGAAGGTCGAGAGCCACTGGGCTAGAGAATGTAGGTAGAGTAAGACTAAAGGGGGGGACCTCAGTTACATAGCCATGAGAGCGTCATCATCCCTGCTGGGTTCAGACCTTCCAATGTGGCTGCTTTACGGTCCCCTGTGCCCCTGCCTGTAACCTCTCACCCCTGCTCTGTAAGTAGGGCTAACTGAGTGGACTTTGGTGGAACCACATCTTGGTTTGCATTGGGACCTAAGGAGGAGGGGTTGACATCATCACATCCCCCCCAAGGAAAGAATTTGAGCAGCAAGAAGCCAATAGACTGAATGCTTTTGATGACTCCCCATCCCCATTTGGCCTTTCTTTCCTGTCACAGGGTCTGCGTCCAAATGCCCATCTGCTAGACTTTCTTTGTTTTTTTTTGTTTTCTCCTATAAATGAAGTCTAGTTTTTTTTATCCAAAGAAATTCCAGTAGCCACATTATCAGTGCTTTTACATTGGTTCCCTAAGTTCCAATTCTCACAGCATGACAGAGAAAGAGCCATGTAATCCCTACACAGTCTAATATGTCACATTATAATAAAGAAGGAGCAAGCTTCAGGAACCCAAGCCCTTTACAACTTGTAATAAGCTGGCCTGCTTTTTGATTCAGAGGGGTAATGTGAGTCTCTGTGAGGACTCTTTGGCAATGGAAGCTGCTCTGCTTCTAAGATGCCCTGGGAACTAAAGTCCCCTAAGAACAGCTTCTGACCAATAGTAAGGACTTGTCACTCCAGCTCTGGGGCATGCCAGGAACTGGCTTCAGAACTCCCAGTGTGGTAAGACTCCCGTTGCCCAGGGAGGTAACTGGTTTGTTAGCAGTATTTCTTCCCCTTCCAGGCTGGAGCATTCTGCTCTGGGGTCACCTCCATTTGAACCTGGATCCTTGGTTCCCTTCTCCTCTTCACCTTCACTCCAATACCCAGCACTGATCGTGGAACCAATTAGCTCCCCCATAAGTGCAGGCAAACTCTCCTATGTACTCAAATTCTAGGACACAACGAGGTCAGGACAGGATGGCATCCCTCATGAGGCTGAATCTGCTGTCCAGCACTATGGTACCCAGAATCAGTGGTTCCATGACTTTGAGTGGCAAGGATACTTGGGAATGATTGGATGGATGGATGGATGGATGGATGGATGGATGGATGGATGGATGGATGATGGATGTGAAACCAAAACTGAGAATGCTCATCAGCACTGGGCACAGACTGCATGAAGTTGGTAGAGGGGAGAGAATGTAGGAACATGGAGATGCCAAGCCTGAGCCAAGAAAGTTGTTTTGCTATGGAATATATTATTTTTGCAGGTTGCTATAGTTACCGCTGTGAAATTAAAAATTAAAACCTTGTGAAAGAGAGAGGGTTGACTGAGATGAGGCAGTTCCTTGACAGGCTGAGTTATTTATCTTTTCCCCATGTAACATCTGGTTACGTGCTTGCAAATTTATTTTTAATTCAGAGCTCTAAAAAAGATTTTGCATTGATATGCCATGCAGAAATGAATCACTTGGGAGAGAAAGATTAACGGTTAGTATCCAGTGGCAACTGGTGACCTCTGGTGTGTCCCTTGGCCTTTGCTTCTGCTTCTCAGGCAACCTCTAGGCATCAGTGTAGGATTGGCAAGCATCTGGAACCCCTGCCAATCAAGCAGCAGCCGTAACCATGGCTCCCAGATACAGAGCCTCGCTGGTGGCTGCTCTCAGTTCTAGTGACTCTGACCAGGAGGATGAGCGTGGCTCCTGGAAAGAGGCTTTGAGATCCTTCCTCTCTAGTCTGTTCCCCAACCTGTGAAACCCTCAGTATAACCCAGGATCTTTTGAGCCTTTGAATCAGATCCCCAGAAAGACAATGCTTGTGGCTTAGTGGAGGTGATACTGGGTGGAGCCAGAAGATGTGGGATCTGGGTCCAGCCCAGACATTGCAGGCTGTGTGTGCTGGTGAAAGTAACCCTTCTTTTTGACCCCCCTTCACCCACTTCTTCAGGGAGAAGTTGGAGTCTGCAGTATTCCCTAAGCCGGTCCTAGAAGTCTCCAGATTCACCGGGCATCTTTGTTTCCTCTCTGTCACCTAAAGAGTAAGGTTGGGATCCCAGGGTGGGCTTCTTCCCACCTTTCTCTTACCTCAGGCCTCTGACCTGGGTGTCTCCAGTACACAGGGATCTCTTCACTCGTGTTCCCAGGTCTTCCTCCTCTGCTTCACCCAGGGCTTTCCCACAACCCAATGACCTCTGCTCTCCTCTTCTGGCACCCATCCTGGCTGGGCTCCCCAGCTCGTGATGCACAGTTTGGGGTTCTATGCTCTTTTGCCATCATCAGGCAGCTACCAGGTGGTCCTCTTCTTGGTGGATTAAGGATTTTCCCCCAATGTGTTGCTGCAGTTAATTCTATTTGTAATTGTTGCTACTAATCTTGGTTTCAACTTTAGTACAAGTTTACATGTATGTACAGGAAAAGGTATGCATGACTTTCAGTCATCTCCTGGGGACAAGGGGTGACTACTGTAGTGTAGTTTCTTCCTGCCTTCCTGTTGTCCTGTATCAACAACAGAGATTATCTGTCCTCTATGTACAGAGTAGGGTCTACAGTCTACACAGCATAGGACTTAATGCTTTTTGAGTAAGTGAATAAATGGAGTGAGAGAATGAAGAAAACATTTCTCATTCCCCACTGTATGCTAGACCAGGTGGAGATAATCTACGATGGGAAAGGAATGTGACCCCCACCCCACTCCCCAAAAAGCCCCATAGGCTAGGGAAATGAATGCCAAAGGCAACTGTATAGGAAGAAATCAATTCCTTATAACAGCCGAGGCATGTGCACGCATGGAAAGGTCTATGCAGCCGAGGCATGTGCACGCACGGGAAGGTCTATGCAGCCGAGGCATGTGCAAGCACGGGAAGGTCTATGCAGCCGAGGCATGTGCAAGCACGGGAAGGTCTATGCAGCCGAGGCATGTGCAAGCACGGGAAGGTCTAAGCAGCCGAGGCATGTGCAAGCACGGGAAGGTCTATGCAGCCGAGGCATATGCATGTATGGAAGGTCTATGGTAGGGGGCTTTTCTGAAGTAACAGCACCCATCCTGTCAGGTGTAAAAGCTAAACAACGGGAGTACTAACAGCCACTCTGTCCTGAGTATTCCTTATTATCAGACACAGTGTTTTAGAGAAGTGAATTGACTCTTTTAGCCCTGTAAGATCACTATTATTATTTTCCTGTTGGGTCCCCAGTGTCCAGGAGGGGCACAACACACATTTATAGATGAATGAGTCTCCGTGTCATTTTCAAGGCGTCAGATCGGACAGAATGGTGTTTTGTCTAAGAACTAACAGGGAGCCAAGTCTGTTTGGCTCTGTCCATGGTGGCAAAGGGGACCTTCCCTGCATGTTGACTTATTTGAGTCACCTTGGGCCCTGAAGAAATGACTCTCCATCCCCACCCCTCATCCACCATCACAACTGGCTGACAGCATTGGGCTGAATCTGAACAGTGCTGGGTTGGGTGGACCAGCAATCAGGAGAGGGCTTTCCTATCAGCAGCAGACACAGCCTGGCCTGTGTCTTTGAAGCATCTTAGCTGGCGTCCTCCACTGCGTCTGACTGGAATGAAGTGGGAGGATCAGGGAACATTTTGTGGGCAGACATATCCCAACTTTTTGACAGGTCTGGACTCATCACCCTGGTTCCCCACATGAGTGTGCTCCAAATTCATGGCTGAAACCCTGGGCTTGTACACTCATTGGAGGATGAATAATTAACTAGCTACCAGTGGCAACAGCTGGGTGCAGAGGGTACTGTGGAGCTGACAACACAGTGTCCCAGCTTGACTCTGGTTTGGGGGAGGGGCTGTTGTTTCTGGCAGCGAATTTGGTAGTGCTGAGAGCAACGGGTCTCCTGATTGAGGGGCCTCTGAGGCTGTTCCAGTGAACAGAGGCACGATTGGAGAGGTAGTGCTTCCAGATAAACCAGGCACAAGTCAAGTTGTCTTCTGGACGAAGGGTGACCTTTAGGGTCTGTTCTTAGCTCCTTCCCATTCCTCATCTCTTCTGAGCAATGGCAACTTGGGCTCCATTTTGAGCAGGAGATTTGGACCAGTAATGCGAACTCAAAATGTCTTGGCAAGGCAAGGACACTGTCAAGAGGATCTCTTGGTCCCTGCCTTGCTGACTGCTTTGCTCTAGTCTATGAACTCTGGTAATAGGAACTCTGCTGTGCTGAGATCTGCATGGCTTTAGGAATTGACCTGACTGGGGTGTGTTTGGGGGGGATGTAAAGAAGGGACAGACACACATCTACAGAAAAAGCAGGACCAGGTGGGCCTATGCTCCCACAGAGATGCACAAGCAGCAGCCCAGAAACGTAGTGCATTTATTTATACAGCTGAACAAGGAAGTGGGCTTATTGTACACAGAGGAAAGAAAAGGCAGATTTAGTTAATCTTGGTAGGAGGTCTCTATAGGGGACCAGTCTCAGGCTGTAAACATCCAGGGAGAGGAAGCTGCTGTTGACATTTCACACACACTGACAACGTCTGCACACAGACCAAGGGAAGACTTTACCATTTCCTGAGCCTGACCTCAGGAAGGCTGTGCCATTCCCCTGGGTCTGAGGCTTTGGGGTCCTTGACATGGCTGTGCTCCTGTCAACAACACACGTCCACTTAGCACTTCACCTGCTCCCCACACTGCTGGCTTCATTCACCTGTCAGCACTGGGAATGTGGCATCATGTCCCTCAGTGCTTGTCTAGATGGGAACTGTAGGCTAAGCCGGATGTTTGCTCGAAGTCGGTAGGATGGATTCTCGGGACCTTGGACATTTCTCAGCAGCGGGGTTTAGGGCAAGATCCATACTTCATTCTTCAAGATCCTTGAGTTTGTTCATGTAGACTGCTCTGGTGGCTGGCCACAGTGTGGCCTGAAGAACAAACAGCATAGGTGCCTTTTCTGAGCCTGGGCCAAGCCAAGTCCTGAAGCTGGTACATTTGGAGAGGAGAGGCGATTACACACCTATGTGACAGTGTGATAGTGTTTCTGGGCTCAAGAAGTTCTTAGGTCCTATTTAGGCCCCACTCTTGGGAAATTTAGGAATGTATATAATGCAGCTATAAGTCTATAAGTAATATCAACTATTACTATATTACTATTGGCTATAATCCATTTGCCCTGTAAGTAAAGGAAGCCTAAGTTAGTCACTGGGGACTGAGGCTCTGTTTGCCGTTTTTCCTACCTCTAACAGGTACCTTGTTATTCTCATTCTTGGTGCTTTGTGATTATAAAATGGCTTTTGGGTTTCAGGAAATGCACCCCTTTTCTGTGCAGGCAAGAGGGAAAAGCAATAACCATTGCTGTAAGAGCTTTGTAATGCACAGTAGCACCTGAACATACACAAATCTTGGTTCCATCGGGGTCATGTACCACTCCTGGTGAAAGGAGAAAATGAACACTTGGCTTCTCTGGAGCCACAATGAGAGGAGCTATTAGCTATCCGGAAGGCAGCTGTGCACACATGGTAGCTCCCTGAACTCGGAAACCCCCTTTGTCTACGAACACTGATAATTTGCACTTCCGTAAAGAAAGCCTACTTACCTCTAATAACATATGTACATGACACGGGCAGTGTAGCTAGGCTACAGGATCTAGTCCCACTCTGCCGAGCGCCAGCTGTGTGTCTCAGACAGCCCCTGACTCCTCTCTGTGCCTGCACTTGCTCCCCTGGAAAACGGAGCATGTTGTTCCCCAATGGAGGGATTTACCACGATGAAAAAAAAAATGGTCCCGGAACGAATGTTGAGTCATGTCTGACCTTTCTTGGTCATCAAAGAAAAGTCAACACAATCACTATTGTTATCACTGTTGTGACTATGACTCCCATGGGGAGATTAAAGAGAAAGATCACTTCACTATTGTTATTATTGTGACTGTAGTTACCACTGTGCCGTTTTCCTGTGGGTAGAAACAAGGCCTAGACTCCTAAGGCATGGCCCAATGACCTGATGGTGACTTCAGACAAACCCCCTTTGCAGCCAGGTACTCCCTTTGTAGGGTACCAGTCTGGTCCCAGCAGTGTCCCGACAGGCCTCAGATGTACTCACTCCCCCGACTCTGTCCTGAGTCCTGCTGTGGAGCACAGCCAACCTGAGCTGGGAGGAGGGAGGTTGTGGCAAAGTTGGAGACTCTCTTCCAATGGCCGGTCTCGGCCTCTCCCTCATGGGCTGAAGGCCCTCTGTGCTCAGACACCTCAATTACTGTATCTGGTTCCTGGCCCCTTCTCCCTGTGTTCTTTCTCTCCGGACACTTTCTCCTTTCTCCTTACATTCATTCTCTCCTGACACTTCGGCCTGCTTCCTGAAATGCAGGTGTCCTCATATCAACTGTGGTGTCATAGGCAGGGACCAGAGGGGATGGGGTTCCGGGAATTCCAGCCCTACGCCACCAGGCAGGGCAGCAGGCCTTTGACTATCTCTTACACAGTGTCGACTGAAGTTTTCAACACAACATTTTAACTCCGAAGTTAAAAATGCAAAGTCTGACAGCAGTAACTAGTGGGTATAGATTTACCATGTGTCAGGCATTTTGCTAAAATGTTTCACACGTATTAATTTATGATGTAATCTTCCAGTAATGCAGTGAGGAAAGCACTATTAATAGTTTAAAATTGAGTAACGAGCAATTGAGTAACTTACCCACGGCAGCTCCGCAGATCGGGGAATCTGAAAACAGTTCACTTGGCTCTGAACTACTGCTGTTTGTTTGTTTGGAGGGGGAGGGGAGTCAGCTCATCTTTTCTGATGTTGGAATCTCTCTTGCAGCAATTCTCTTCGAATTCTTTGCTTGGCTTCAGCTTGTACACCTGCAGGGACGGAGAGCTCACTACCTCCCTAGGGATCTAGCTCTGGCTGCATCAGTATGAAAACACTCCCTCAAGTTTGTGGAGTGCTTAATAAGTCTTCAAGACTCAGAGTGGTTTCCTGGGAAACAGAGCAGCTTCCTCAGCCCCCAGGGACATGGTGTGGTCTGGATTACAAGTGAAGAAATTTAGAAAGAGCCAAAAACCTCACGTTTTTTTGCCACGGGAGAGAGGACATGTTGTGGACCCACAAGCAGAGGCTTATTGTGTGAGTTGTTCCCGCCTTGAGCTTAGTCCGTTTTGTGCTGCCGTCCAGAGTACTGCAGACTGGGTGATTCACAAACAGGGAAGTTTGTTTAGAGCCATTGTGGTGGCAGCTGTAATCCCAGCAATCCGGAGTGGAGGCAGGAGGAATGAGAGTTTGAGGCTCCACAGTGAAGGCTAGTCTGAAGAAACTAGGGTGTAGATAGAGCTTAGTGACCCTGGGTGTGGTCTCCAGCACAGCCAGAGGGAAAGTTGACTGGCTTGGTTTATGGGTCTAGAGCAGCAGTTCTCAACCTGTGGGTCAAGACCCCTTTGGGGGTTACATATCAGATATTTACATTATGATTCTTAACAGTAGCAAAATTACGGTTATGAAGTACCAATGAAAATAATTTTATATGGTTGGGGTCACCGCAACATGAGGAACTGTATTACTAAAGGGTTGCAGCATTAGGAAGGTTGAGAACCACTGCTCTAGAGGGCTGTGAAGACCAGGATCAGGGAACGGGCCTCTGATGAATGTCTTCTTGCTGCCACAGCAGAAGGAAGAAGGGCAAAGGGGAGCATGTCCATGTGCACACAGATGGTAGACAGACAGACGATAGACGGGAGCCCCGACGGAACTCATGTTTTATGGCCTGCCATCTCATTAGTTCATGCAGGAGGGTGGCACTCTCATGATGCAAACATTTGGCCCTGACTCCTGATACTGTGACAGGGGAATTACAGATTAAACTTCTCGGGAGACAGTTCCAAGTCACAGGACTGAGCATCAGCCTCACTTGTGACATGTCCTTTACAAGACCAGCTTCTTCCCAGAGTCCTCATAAGGGCGGTAGAGCATAATATACAAGAGGTGCCAGGCAGAGCTAGACACTAATGTGTCCTGGGATTTTGGCATTATCTGTATTAAAATCCAGTCTCAGGCTAGTATTTCTGATTGGTCAATGGTTTGATCATACAGCAAGTGAGGTCAGGATGTTGACTCTTGACTCCAAACTGTCCTGTTTGGCATACAGAAGAACAGAGTCCCTGGGAATTTGGGTATTCCAATTAGTTGGTGGCCTAAAATAATAGCCCATGGAGCAAAGTAAAAGGTAATTAGCCAATCCCATGGGCTATTTTAGGAAATGTGAGGTCCAAGATCAAAAACAGGCCCCTGGGAGGACATTGTCTCCTTGGCACTCAGCTTTCTAGAGACCACCATTGTGGGTCCACAGAGTGTTCATCCTAATATCCAGTGTTCCATGAGGAGTGTCCACGCTTAGCTCTGAGACATGGAACAGGAGAGAATGCCTTTTGTGTTTGAGGATATAAGTGCAGGAATGTACCTATGGCTGAGTGGCTCCATGGAGAAAGCAAGGACTCAGGAAATGCGGGTGGCCTGAACCCAACTGCCCTGTGTATGTGACCACGCTGATCTTCTGTCTCTTCATAGAGTTGAGACTGTTGAGAGACTTAAAGGTGACATGGACAGCTAAGTAGCTGGGAAAGAGAGGAGAGAGAGAGAGAGAGAGAGAGAGAGAGAGAGAGAGAGAGAGAGAGATTGAGAGAGAGCACTTTAGTCACTCTGCTTTCTTGAAAAGTGAAGCTGGACATCTCTGGCCCCTGGAGTTGCACTGTGCTCCCACCACTGAGAGGGCTCAATATAGAGACCCGCTGGTCCAGTCCTTTTGCTCCAGACTCCCCTCTCCTTCATGTCCTCCCTGGACCTGAGGCAGCTGTGCCAGCTCAGGGAGGAAGGTTCTAGAAGAAGCACCTCCCATTCCCTGGAGGTGTTTGCTCAGGGCCACCCCAGGATGAATATTTCCTTTTATAATGTTGCTAATCACTTTCCCCTGCAGGCAGGAGCCAGCCTCTCCACGGCTCCTGCAGCTGTGGTGCCCTGTGGGCTCTTCATCAATGTTACATGGTAATTAATAATAGATTCTCCTGCTCCAACTCCTGCTCCCTCTGACAGGCTGGATCTTCCCTACCAGATGAGACCGAAATCAAAGGCCTGAAATTGCAACTGGAAACATTTCTTCCAACAACTCGAGGGAAGAAATCGGGACAGCTTAAACTACGGGTGGCTCCAGCGCTGGATGACCTTCTTGTTTTACCCTAGGACACCGCAGATGAATAGTTCTGCATCAAGGACTGGAGACTTTCCCTGTGTGTTCAGAGGAGGTTATAGTCTGGTGTGTCTTGGTGTGATGAAGTAGATGGCAGTGGAACTCAAGACTCACTCCTTCAACAAATGCCCGACTGGTGCTGATGCTGGTAGTAGTCCAGGCACCACTCCCAGAGAACCACTGCTTTATTTACTACGCACATACAGAGAGTTAGTAGGTACTTGGCCCCGGGGACATGGAGTGAGTAAGGCAAAGTGGTACCCACTCACTTGGATAGAATCAACTCAGGGCATCATGTGATGGGTTAGAAAGCAGGTTCTAGAATTAGAAGTGCTGGATTCAAGGCCTGAGTCTGTAGCTACACATGGAAGAGCCTCCTATTTTTTTTTTTTTGAAACTGTCTAATGGGAATAATTATGTATCGTGTCTCAGCTGGCCAGAGGAACAGTTGAGAAAACGGATGTAAAAATATCTGCTCAGAAGTGTGAGTGACATAATGTGACTTAGCATGTGGTCACTATTGTTACTGAGTGACTGTCCACAGTTGTGTGACTAGGTCTTGTGGTAGAGGGGTGACATTCATTTATCAGTTCGTTCCTCACAATTATCTTGACCTCCAAGAACATTCTGGGTGTGGGAAACACAGAGGCAGATGCATCAGCCACAGATCTCTCCTCTCATACGGTGGGTCGGTTGGAGGGGGGAACTTCTTAGCAAAAGGCACATGTATTTACAAGACTCCAGAGAAGTGTGACATGTGACAAAGAGGAACTAAACAGCTCAGGAAACAGATGCTTTGTTAGAGATCAGAGTCAGCTGAAGTCCCTCTGACAAGGTGTCCACTGGAGAAAGAGCCCACTAGGCCTTACAAAAAGCTAGGACGTATCTTGAGGAGGGTGTCCTAGGAATGGCAGGCCCAGGTCTGTACCCCAGCTGGGCATCTCATGTTGCTCATCCTCTAAAGGCCTTCAGGGACTCCAGATCTTTGGACTTTAGAAGAACTAACCCCTCCAGAAGCGTATATTCTTATACTCCAGGGCTGCTCAACCCGGCTACCGCATATGGAGCAGCTTCAGAGGTGGCCAGCTGCTTTGACCATTTTCTTGTCTGAACCTGGCTTGATTGACAGGTCTGGAGGATGATAATCTCACCTTTACCTCTGGTAGAGTGAGAGTTAGAGCACTCCTGGCTGTAAATGTTTTGCAAGCTGGACACTTAATAGGTGCTCCGTGAATAGCCTCCTGAGGCTTGGCTCCAGGTGGGGCTCCTATCAGAATTCTCATTGTGCCAGGGTGTGTGTTCTGTTTGCATAAATTTACATAAAACTTCTATAGTTGCATCCTTTTCTGCTGTTAGCTCCTGTAAGTACAGGCCATCTCCCTTTTCTCCACTACTCCCTTTGCTCTTTCAAAGAATTTCAAGAGTTAATCAGATATTCCGGTGTGGAAGCTGTTTTGATTGGGGCCTCTTTTGCGGGAGGGGCTGTCCTCCATGAGGCCCTTGATTCCCTGCTTTCCTGGAAGGAGACACCAGCAATGGTCTCAGACAGTGGAGGGGCCTGGAATCTTCAAAGGGAAAGTCAATTTTATTCTCTCTGCTCACAAAAGGAGAGCATAGAGACAAGGAGACCGTCCAGAGCAGCAGCAGGAAAAATTCACAACAAAGTCTTTAGAACAGCCTAAGCAAACAGTGCTCTTAACACAATAGTGCATTTCGTTACTGATTTATTTCCCTGTAATATTTCCTTAGAGTTGGCACTCTACTACACCCACACCACCACCACCCCAACACACACACTAGTTTTATATATATAAAACTTTTCTCTATGCTATTACAAACTTGCCAACATCATTTTTCAAAACTATGCAGCATTCCTTAGTATAGGAAGTTCTTAATGTGCCCCTGTCATGGAGTATTTAGATGGTATTGGGTTTCGGCGAGGTACTTGTGGCTGTGATGTATGCACTCCTGGCTTTTTCTCATTGAATTTTGGTTACCGGATGGGAGAAACAGGCAAGATGAAGGCTCTGAAGAGACTTCGTGGCAGTTGTTTCTGGATTTCAGAATGTGCTTTGGGGTTGTCTTCACCACAGGCCTCTCAAATCCGTAAGCCACAACGCCCCTTTGATAACGGTAGATGAGACATACTCCTGCAGCGTGCCTCCCAGCTTTGGGGCCCTCCACTCAGTCCGGACGCTTGCTCCTTTGTTGGGATGCTTGAATGATAGGCCTTTTTGCAAACACCCTTGGTGCACAACACGCAACTGGGATTCAAGGAAGCTTGAGCTGTCTCTAATTCTCACACATCTTACTTTGTCAAAACAACAAAAAAAGACTTTCTGTCAGCCAGAAATACCTTGAACTTAAACAAGGAAGTGTTGCTAGTTTCTTTTCCTTACTTCCTCCTCCTATTCTTCCTCTTCCTCCTCCTCTTCCTCCTCCTCCTCCTCCTCTTCTCTTACTCTTTTAATAAGAGCATTCCAAGAGCTAGCTACTCAGGGAATGCTCAGCTGTCTAATGATGCTGTCTAGCCCTTGGGTCCTGTCTTCCTTTCCTGCCATTCCTGAGAAGGGCACATTTGTTTTCACACTTGCTGCTCCACGGCCCCATTATGATTGCCACACCTCCATGTACCAGGCTCTCCTGCAGGGTATAAAGAAAAAGGAAAGTCAAGGGAGCGGATGGCCTTGTCATCAAACCCGTTTGCTGTGTCGGGAAGACAAAAGCTTTCCTTGAGGCCTACACAGAAGATTTTTTGCTTGCATTTCCACAAGCCAGAAACAAGTTGTCTGGCCATTCCCTAAACAAGTTGTTAGTGAATAGAAAAGTGTTACCAAGATTCACCCCCAGGGCTCAGTGATGGCCGCCTTAGTGGTAAGAGAGTAAAACCAACAGGAGAATAAAACAGAAAGGACTCAACAGGGAAGGACAGGGTGGAGTTCATGAGAAGGAGCTCACCAGGAGGAAGACTTCACCACAGACTTTGTGGAAGATGGAATCATTTCACCCCAGAAGGATACTTTTGTTGGCTGATACCCATTCCGCTGGCCCCAAAGAGTAGCTAACCAGGGCTAGGGAGCTCACAATGTTCCACAATGAGAAG